GAGCGGTGGTCGCTCACGCTCATATGAGCGCTCATGAGCGTGAGCGTTTTCTGACTCAAAGAAAGTACGAGTGTCTCTGATCACTTTTTTCAACTTTGTTCCTCGAAAATCGACATTGATGATTTTTGTGCCTGGGGTCCCCCTCAGGTATCATGAAAAAAAATTTTTTTTTTCACGAGTCAAAATCAGATGTAGTGGTAGATTGAGAAGTGCTGATTAAGAATATCACAATGGGAGCTCTCAAAATCTTTTTATTTCTGGAATAGTCCTAACCACTCTATTCACTATAGCCTTCATTATTGGGGTCTTCATGGAATAGTTATTCACTCAAATTTAGCCAGAAATATCTTTCTTACCCAAAATTTTGAGCTCTCTACGAATCTGAGCTTGTTACGCAGAAAAAAATGGTCATTTCGGTGCGGAAATTGATCTTTTTTAGTACATAGAGTTTTCTTCTGATTACTTTTTGGGAAGCTACTGTTATCGTAACATGAAATTTGGACCATTAGGGTAATTTTTCAAGCTCTCACGGTTGATAACCGTAAAAATAATTGAAAATGTGTACAACATAGTGAAAAACCCTAAATTCTGGTAAAATTCGTCTTTTCCCACTAGATTTGCCTATATATGTTTGATGTTCAGCACGAAAACAGTCTGCCTTGAACGTCAAACTCGAAGTATACGTCTCGCTTTTCATGTTCTATCGATTTGCAGTCGCAAAAAGATGGAAACAGAAGAATAAGGGAAGAGAAAATTCAAAAACTAGAACATTTAGCACCTTTTCAAAATGTTCGTGAATATTTCTGCAATCGAGTTTTCTGAAAGAAAAGCTGGTCTTTTCAGGGCACTTTTTCGGACTCGATTGACTGATGATACTGGTAGTAGATAGATGAGATCGAAGATGGGAAAAAAGTAGTTGGAATCGAGAAACATTGCCATGTTCGATATAAATTCTAATACAACTCCATGGTAAATTTCTGATAGATAGTATTTATGCGGGAAGAAAAGCATAAATTGAACTGTTGTATAATAGATTTCGAATAGAAAAAGTGTGTTATCTACTGAATAAATTTTAGGATTGTGTAAATTTATTTTGATCTTTTGTCTAATTATGATAAAAAGGAGAAGAGCAAAAGATTAGATCGCAAATGTTGAAGACAAGCGTGGAAGTAATGTAGTGCTTCTCTTTCAATTGATTTGAATCAGCTTCGTTGTTTGGTTTTGCCTCTTATCTCAGTGAGAAAAAGATAGTTTGAATTAAAATAAATCTACAATGTTTCCACCAAAATCAAAAAGACCTGGCTATCAATGTTTTTATATAAATATTCAAAGTCAAAGTCTCGCAGGATAAAGACTTTTGTACTCTTTAGCCTGTCCGACAATGCCTAATCCTGAAGAAACTTTTATCGCACATTTAAACACACATGGTTTTACGACAAATTGAGTTGTCCTGCTATCACTATCGATGGAGATCAAGAGGAAGTGAATGTGATCCTATAAAAGTTTTCGATGCAGATCTAGTTTGAAGTAGATTATTTTATAATTTGAGTTATCTATTTAGACCACAGTTGATAGAAATTTTCGATGTAATGCCGGTTAACATACTATTTTATTTTGTATTGATTTATTACTACTTTGATCACTATACACACATACGCTATCGGTCACACGAATTAATTTTTCAAATATTTTAATAAGTGTACGCTACATTTGATATTCCTTTTCAACCCGAAGAAGCCAGCATTTTTAAGAACTAACAGGATATTTTTCTAACCCTCATTTGAGATGCTGGGCAGTGAAGATTGCATTTTGATCACAATTCAAAAATGAATCTCGTCAATAAAGGCAATGAACTCATAAGTGTCATTAGAGCTAAAGAATGGCTCTAACTGTTGTCTTGCTGATATAAGACAAGATAGAAGTGCTAAGAAATTTCTCTAGTTTCTGCAATAATGATAAACAGAAAAAAAGCTGCATGGTAACTTATTATAAGCTCGGCATTCTGACACTCACTGGCTTTACAAGAAAAGTCACATCACTTTGATCAGAGGCAGTAACACGAGTTACAACATCATTTTTATATAAGATTCGAAGATCAAACTTTTAAATATTCAAGAAAAAGGTCTTGATTTGGACGAATAACTAAGAAAGCCCAACAGTCGTCACTACATTTTTATGATAAACTTAGTTATAGATCGAAGTAACATTTAGAGTCTTTTCAATATGAATGCGTTAATCATGAAAGCGTTCACGAATATTCCATTGAATTCTCAGATTAAGAAAATTAAAGCTTTTGAATAAAAAAGAAGAAGAAAAATACCGAGCACATGCTAGTTTTTTGTGTTCGCAGGAGTTATCCGAACGAGAAATACAATATCATTACCCTTCGTATTAGAAACGTATGTGAACAATGTAAATCCAGCTACAAATCACTGCTCCTATTCTTTGGAATCTACTAAGTATGCTGGTGACAACACTTCTATCGCAGTTAATAGATTATGACCTCCGAAACCTGTACTCTATCCTGTGAAAAGCCTTTTAACCTGGTCCTGCCTTGCCAGGCAGGACTGGGCAGGTTACACTTAGCATGTGGGCTCTATTCGAAGTAGATATATTTCATTTTTGTGAAGTTACGGGAGCATTCCACGGCACTTGTGCAAAATATTTGACTGTGCGCAATGAATTTCTTTCATTTTCTCTTCTGTTTCGTGTTAAGGTTGTAATACAATTATTCTTTCATATATAATACATTGATAGAAAACGTAGCTCTAGTTTTGGAGAGAAAATTTCGAGTAAGATGTAAAACACTAATGGTGTTTCAGTGATAGGTTTAGTCAGAGTGAATTTTCAAAAAGGTACTCATATATGAGATATGCCAATGATAATAAGAAATAACAATCATGGTACCTGTCGCGAATAACACATAATTTAATGTACTAATCAAGCAACGCAACAAAAATGTTATCTTAGTTTTCTTTAGGCATATGACACGGTGATGTCATCTTCCGATATTCTTTCTCTTCAGATAAGGCTTTCTGGTGACAGAATATCATAAGAAAATCAGTATTGTACAAATTCAAAGCCCTAGCTTGTTTCTTTTCACGTTTAAAACCACAAAAACATAGATGGATATACATGTAGTAAAAACTGATCAGAATCTTTTAGACTTCAGACATAGGTCGTAGCTGTACCCTGTTTTCTTTGTCTCTCAGACTGCCAATCAAGAGAGCATAGACACTTACCCATTTAATTCGAATATGGTCTTCCAGTGGTATGATAGAAAAGACAGAAAAGGAAAATGTCGAAAGGAAAAATATCGGAAAGAAATATAGAAAAGAAGAATATCGAAAGAAAAATTATCGAATAGAAAAATATAGAACGAAAAAATATCGAAAGAAGAACGTCGAAGAGAAAAATATCGAAAAAGGAGTGTGTCGAGTCAAAAAGATGTTATTTTTATACTAATTGAAAAAGAATAGCATGGAAAATAAAAGTATTGACTAAATAAATAAAATAAAGCAACACATGGGCACTCATCCTCAATAGGTAAAGTAGTAATTAATTACTGAAGATTCCTTTTTTTAGAAGCCAATATTGGTAGCAAAAAACCTCATGAAATTGCATCTATAATGTTGTAGGCGTAGATATAACTACTTCCGTTGTGCCAATGAAAAATAATTTATGTTATTTTGAAAGTTTCTAGCATTTCGAAAACTGAGGAGTCGAGGGTGATAGGTATTTGAAGTTGTCGTGCATTATTCAATAAATAAGTGTGAAAAGTAAATTCTTCAATTTAAAAACCAGAATTCTAAATTATCTATCTCAGTTCATGATGTTTGAAATGTGATGGAGAATTGTTTGAAATATAAGCTTCATGATTAGACATCGGATACTTGAATATTCGTAGAATTTTTCTAATATTCTTTTACTGCTCTCACGACATTCAAATTTTCATTTCCTCAGATTCGATTTGATAGTCCTTAGGATGTCATTTATATACCTATTTAAATTTGAAACACAACTCATATTTTCATATCGATGGCAATCTGTTATATTTGATGGTTTTATCTAGTTTAAAAATGGACTCTGTTTACCATTAAAAAGCATTTCTGTTTTTAATGAAGAAAGTTGATTAGATTAGAAAAGTTAGTCATTTTATCTAGAATGAGCAACAACAACTAACTCTTCTTCGATTACTACCGTATTCGTAAATAAAACGCTTCAGCACGTATTTTATTTCATCATTTAATATATATTCGACATTTCAAAAGTAGAATTACAACAGAAGGCACTTCTACTAAAAAATTAATGTTTCATTTATAGCACTCAAACGGTCGCTCAGCATTGGTGTCTTCTTTTCCACCTCTTCGTCTTAAATATTTTTCTCTTCTGCGTTTTTCCTTCCATATTTTTCTTTTTGCTCTTTTCCCATTCGACGTTTTTCTTTTCAACATTTCGTTCTTTGTTTTTCGATATTTTTCCTTTCGAAATTTTTCCTTTCTGCCTTTTCCATATATTCCTTCCAGCAACCTTACTTTGATACTGAAAACTAACCCATTATAGCCGAACTCAGAAGAAATGTCAAATTTGAGTATATTTTGCACTTCTCACCGTGCTATACCTCTTTTCTAGTTTTGTGCGACCACAAATCGATAGAACTTGAAAAGCGAGATGTATACTTCGAGTTTGACGTCCAAGGAAGACTGTATTTGTGCTAAACATCAAACATATATAGGCAAATCTAGTGGGAAAAGACGAATTTTACCAGATTTCAGAGCTTTTGACTATGTTGTACACATTTTTAATTGTTTTTGTGGTTATCAACCATGAGAGCTTCAACAATTACCCTAATGGTCCAAATTTCATGTTACGATAACAGTAGCTTCGTAAAAAGGTATCGGAAGAAAATTCTGTGCATTTATAAAAGGTCAATTTCTGCACCGGAATGACCGTTTTTTTTCCAAAAGTTACGTTTTTTTTCTGCGTAACAATCTCAGATCCGTAGATAACTCAAAATCTTGGGTAAGAAAGATGTTTCCGGCTACATTTAAGTGAATAAATATTGTATAAGGACCCCAATAATGAAAGATACAGTGCATAGAGTGGTTAGGACTATTTCAGGGATAAAAAGATTTTGAGAGGTCTCATTGTGATATTCTTAATCAGCACGTCTCAATCTACTACTACATCTGATTTTGACTCGTAAAAAAAAATTTTTTTTTCATGATACCTGAGGGGGACCCCAGGCACAAAAATCATCAATATCGATTTTCGAGGAACAAAGTTGAAAAAAGTGATCAGAGACACTTGTACTTTCTTTCAGTCAGAAAACGCTCACGCTCATGAGCGCTCATATGAGCGTGAGCGGTGGTCGCTCACGCTCACGCTCACGTGAGCGAAAAACCGCTCACGCTCATGTGAGCGTGAGCGGTACACCCCTAATTTGAGAAGCAAAAGAAAAAGTAAACGATTAATAAACTCAAAACCATCATTCATATTATTTTACGGTGATAAAAATGAATCAAGATGCGAATGATTTCATCGAGAATATTGGTAAGAATTTTCTTTGTTATGTCTTTTAATTCATGTGGATCATATAAGATTTAAATGTAGTTGGTCACTGAAATTCTCGGACTATTGCCCTTCTTACAATTTCAAGACTGAGGTAGTTAGGTATCAGTAAATATATGAATTGAGGCTCTGCAAAAGTGGAAGAAAGTGTACACCTCTCCAACTATTGAAATTTCGAGCAGAAGGGGGAATCGGAAATAATGTCGGTGGAAAGGGTTAAGTTTAGTAGTTAGGTAAAGAAGTCTGCTAGTTTTTCTTCTTTGAAATCCAGTTTCAAAAGATGATTCTTTTGCCAGGAAAATTCTGAGTTGTTAAAATTTTTCGCTTCACAAAGAAGTCATCATATCAATATACTTGACCCAAAAATATCCATATGTATTTCTGTTATTATGACAATGTTACTGTTGTGTACATTTTGAATAGCTTCCTTTTCGAGAAGTCGTTACTAGCATGACCATCTTCGGCAGCGATCATTTCTATGAAGAATGTTTCATGAATACGAAAAAATATTTTCGTTTCAGAAACAATAACAGAAGTGCTGAAAAATTTTCTGACATTAGACACAAATTGTCGTCTTGATAATAAGTTGAGTTTTTTTGAAAGTTATAAAAAAAAACATCTCGCTTGATGAAAAATCGTTACATTTTGCATTGCAAGAGTAAGAAGAATATCTGATTTTGTTATAGTGTGATTCACTTATGTTGGATATTTTCATTCTTTTCTCTATTCTGCTGACTTACAGATGACACGTATGACACATACATATATATATATATCTTTTTTTTTCTTTCTTTTCTTGTCTCTAGGTCACTTGGATATTTCTCTTCTCCTTGATATTGTTCAGGGATTTATCCCTTCTCATGATGTTTTCTTTCTAGTATCATTGGGCTTTTCCTAGTGTATTCATAGATGTTTTCATCTTAGTGTTTGGTTTTTTCCTAGTTCGTTTATATATATAGTCAGCATTTCGGCAATAAAGAGCAGTTCAGTATTGATCTGATTAGATCGATCACTCCCCCTTAACAGATTTGTTCCAAAAAATATGGCTGCCACTGTCCGCCCTGCTTGTCAAAAATTATACATACTTTCATCGCATAAGCATATGGTGAATATTTGAAATTCGAATGATATAAGTGATCATGACACATGACTTTTTTGCTCAAGATATTCAAGTATTTTATGTGCATGAAATATTTAAGAATAAGCACTTTGAAAGAAAAATAAATGATTTAATTTTTGTTCGAATTAGATTACTGCGATGTAACATGTTTACTTGATTTACCCAATGAAATTTTACTTTTGATTTTTCGTTATTTATCATTGACGTCTATTTTTCATTTATTTTCAACACCATCACAACCTGAATTACGTCTTCATCGTTTGATTCATGCTTATTATAACAAGATAAAATTTAATGAAATAACAAATAATGATTACATTGATTTAGCAAATTTATTTTCGGATTCGAATCTTTCTCTTCGACCTCAATCATTAATATTAAGTAATGAAAATGTCAATTGTATTATACAACGTTTTCTTGCTTATACGGACATTAATATAATTAAATCCATATTTGCTCATTTAAGATGTCTTACATTAATGGATTGTTCTTCTTCGGATCTTCAAACAATTCAGAGATATAATATAGATATGACACAAATGGAATATTTACATATTGTTGTTCGAAACATTGATAGAGTTATTGGTAAATACATTGTTATGAAAATTTTCTAAATGACTCATGTCAAAGTCAAACAGATTTCGAGGAACTTTTATCTTTTGTATTTATCCAATTGATTACAATGAAATAGAGATGAGTAGTTCCAACTCTGCAGTGAGAAACCCTCAGAAGCATATTACGAACTGTGCCTTTTTCACTTCTATTTGCAACATTTACCAAGAGAACTTAATGTCATTAATCAATAGAAAAGTTGCTTTATGAAAGAGCCAGAAAACTTTTCTAATGGATTAACGATATTTTATTTTTGTCGGGGAGGAACGAGAAAAAACCGAAACTATTCATCTCTGCAATGAAAAATATAATTTAGGTTTCTTATTCGAAGAATCATGTGATACAACAATCAATCAATTTCTATTCAGTACACAAATGTCTTCTTTACATGAAATTATTATTCATATTCCTGATGGACTTATCTTACATGAATCATTAGTACCTAATGAATCACTTCGTCATATTGATATAGTTTTACAAACTATCGACGACTTATATATATTACTTGATGGACTTGTGCCTAATGTAGAAAAATTGATTATTCGAATACGTTATTCACGAAGACTCTGTAAGTTATATTTTGATGTTAATAACGAGATTGTCTCTAATTAAGTGTAAAACCCCTAGTGAATATACTCATACAGCGCGCGAGTACGACTTCCCAGCATGAGAACTGAGCTTTTCTTCTATATCTATTCGCAAGCAATACTTTGAGTACTCGCAGTAGTACTCATGCTTGGTTTTCGTAAAAAAAAACAGAATGTGTCGAGACTGAAGTAATACCGGGTACTCACTTTTCATAGAAGAAATATTCAAAAATTTCTCAAAGTATATCTATCTACTGAAGATCGATATGAAATAAGTACAGCGGACTCTTCGAAAGTCTGCTCTGTTCCTCTCTCATCAACATTCTATGTCTCTCCTAATGATCACTAGCAAACGAAGCAGTCAATACAATAATGTAGAGCAAAATTTTCTTCAACAAATAGTTTCAGTATGAGCAAAGAAATCTCTCTAATTGTCAAGTCATTTTTTGAGTCTGAAGTATGTGCATTATTTAGACTCTAATGCTGAGATACTGGATTTTTAAACACAAAGCCATAGTCTCTTCAAGGAATACCAGAAAACTTGAGTTTCGAATGTCGACTTGAACCTTTAATCGGTGACAAGTCATAATGAGAATGGGCGATTGCGAAAATGTCAAATCAGCCAATTGTTTCTGACTTGAAATACGAACGTTGAATCCAGCGATGTAAAAACCATGCTCACAAAGTTTCACCTGGAAATTCGAAACTCAAGTTCTCTAGTATTCCTTAAGAGAATCACGACAATAATAAACTAATAACACGATATCTTTTCAAAATATTCATAGCTCATTTGAGTTTAAATGATATGCACAAACTCATTGATATCAAAAGCGATTTGACAGTCGAAGAAATTCTCTCATAAGTAAAATTACTCAACACTTAAATGATTTTTCAGTTAATTTTTGTTTTCTATATTGTAGCTAATCGTTACTCTCAGAAGAGTATATCATCATATTCTCAACTAACTGAATTGACATTATTAGAAAATGGAACAAGATTTTATATTGACGATATTAAATGTATTTTTGGTTACATGCCTACTTTGATTAGATTAACATTGAGTATTCGTGATACGCCTGATTCAATATTTATTAATGGTCCTCAATTTGAATCAATATTAATTAAATATTTACCAGATCTTCGTCAATTTAATTATACAGTCACTCAGAAAATTGTTAAGAAAAAATACTTTCAAGATTTTCTTCAATGGCCAATGGATATTGTTTATTATAGAAATGAATCATTTAAATGGATACATGTATATTCATTACCATGGCCATTAAATAAAGATGATAAACGACTATCAGGGGTGGCGCGAGTCAACCAACATTGGGGGGGTGTGGCGAAATTTTTTGGACTAGAAAGACGAAGTCTGCAATTTTTCGGAGGGTGTAACATTGTTTTTGGTGACAAATGGAAGAAAATTTCCTGATTTTGTTGAGCAAAAAAACAGAAATTTTTGAAGATTGGGGGGGTGTCGCACCCCCGACTACCCCCCGATCGCGCCACCCCTGACGACTATTACCATTTGTTAAATATGGATATAATACATCAGTTACATCAAATGTAAAACGATCTCAATATATGAAACGTCTTAGCATTATAAAACCTAATGATTTGTTTCGATTAAATACAGAATTCAATCGTGTTTATCAAATAAAATCTTATTTATCAATTAATATCGAATTACCACCACAGATTACTAAACTTATTCTTTCAGAAGAAACAAGTAAATATTTTTGAATAAACTGATAAAATAACAACGAATTGATTATTTTAATCAATTTTTAAGGTATTTCGTCGATAGATTCAATAATTCAACCATCAATTCGTCATTTGATTGTTAAACACATTTTAATAGATGAAAACGAAATTTGTATATATGCTCGTCAATTTCCTAATGTTAAATATTTAAAATTATTCTTTTCACATGAAGAATCTCATTTTATTAATTGTTTACAAGCATTGTTCACTGTAAATGATAAGATTAATGGAAATCGTCATATTTGGCCTCAATTAATAAACTTTTCAACTGTAGCATTATGTAATATATTTTATGATATTTTAGACGAAAATGATATTCATCATTGGCTTATTACTAAAACTGATTTAAAATATGTTAAAAATAGATTTTATGCTGATTATTTCAATAGAATATTATTTATGTGGTTTTAACAGCTTTATTACATCGAGAAACAATGTTTTTCAACTAAGTGATTGTATTGGACGAATAAAAAAATTAAATAATGAAATCATACAGATAAAAGAAAAGTTTTCTTTTCAATTATAGATAAATCTTAGGAAAATAAGTGTTAGTTTTTTTATTTGATCAATTTGAATATTCATTTACTAATGCAATAATATTATCAGCCAATTTAAAATATAGCCAAAATTATGATAACTTCGTGTGATTCTGCTTTCTGGATTTAGCTATTTTCCCTTATTGGTAGTCCTATGTGTATGTCTATGTAGACCCGTTCGGCGCATTTTGAAGTACTCTCAAGTAGAAAAGCAAACTGGTTGGTGGCAGTGTTAAAATCATATTCGTTTGTGCTTATCCGTATGAGCGTGCCCTGTTCATGCATGACCAAACGACGGTTACTCCCACTCACCAACAGGGACGGTTTTCTGATCGCACGTACAAAATATCTTTTTTTTCCAATATAAATCAATCATTTTCAAGTACACACAAATAACAAACGAACATCATTCATTTATTGTCTATTCGATATTAAATTTTTGTACTCGACTATTCTCGGCATCGAAGACATAGAGATTGCCATGTCGATCGAATAATAAGCCGAATGAAGAATATAATTGATTCGACTATATTCCTTTATCATTTTCACTAGCAATGACACTTACCTGTGTGACTTCTTGAAAGTCTGACGGTGAAGGTGTGAATATGAATGAAAGAAATCAAAGAGTGTTAAGAAAGTAATCAAATCATCCATTGACATAGTAAAACAGAAGAAAAAAATAGATGTGAATAATACTATCGCACATTTAAATTTCTACACTTTTCTTTTCATTTGATTTACTGGTGATAAATTTTATTTACTGATCATTTCATTTAATTACAAATTTACGTCATTAATAGCTGACCATTTCATTTATTCTACTGACCGATTAAATAGTAGCCATATTATTTTGCATGCACACGCAGGGGGTTTTTGCAAAAACACTTCAATACTTTCGCTTGTAAAAATACTGAGCATGTACTCACTAATATAGTTTACCCTGTGACACGTATCCATGCACATAATGTGATAAAGATCCATGCATGTACGAGTAACACACGTTTTATCAGCTTTCGCGTTTGACTAGAAAAACTACTGTTTCACTGCATTCTTATTACCTTGTTCAAATTCCACGATAATTTATTCATAGTCTCATGTCGACTCTTTGTGTAAGACAAAGTGAATGTTATATTGATTACTTGCTAACAAAGCAAGAAAAATTAAACAAATACTAAGTGAGTTGCATATAAATCAACTGAATAAAGTTGTAAAGAAAATAAAAAAAAATTGGTTATTTCAATAAAAGGCTTAAAATACGTAGGAATGGCACATGCGTTAGACTATGAGTACTTCTTATCAGTAGCCGATCCAAACTAAAATAGTATGTGTGTGAAGTGTGACTATGCATACTATGTTCATCTCATCGCCACGTCGATATCCACATCCACATCATGAGTTGCCCGAAAATGACGCAAAAAAGACTTTTATCTTGTAGTTTTACAATCATATTTTTACATTTACTGGAGTCTTCCGTAGTTTTTGAAAGTCATTTGATGTATTTGAAGGACATGTGAAATCTTAGTCCTTTTCAACATTAAAATGGCGGGGTGTGGGTGTGGGTATTGTTATCTTTGTTGTTCCACACCCACACCCACACCTGTGTCTGTCTGTTATATAACCAGGGTGTGGGTGTGAGCTGAAGTTCTTCTCTTTACCCAGACCCGCACTCACATCTGCACTTTCAAACACAAGTCAGGATGGAAATGATGTAGACTATTGAAATTTTCAGAAGTATAAGAAGTCACTGAGAGGAGTATTCTATGAAATTTTTAAGTCAATCTAAGCTTCCAAACAATAGATATTTATGATTTAGTACCGATGATGCAATTATACAAATAGAATGCAATCCACCCATATATATATATATATATATATATTATTGCCTTGTCTTAAAGATATTAGAAAAGAAACATATATTAACAAATGATATTAATTATGTCCCTGAAAATGTTCGATATCAGAGATTGTGACGAGACCTAGTCAACAAAGTAAAAATAACACGCCCATCCAACAGTAGCTGTTGACATTGCACCTGCAAATACACAAATACCTGAATCGATCAAATAGCCGACACGAATTAATTGAAATACACCCCCAACAAAAAGTGTGTCTGTATGAATCGCTAAACTTGATCCTTGGTGAATATGATTTACCGCTTTGAACGAGTCTGGTGTTCGACTGGGATCAACTGAAAAACAAACCAACATCAGATACATCCATTCTTGAAAAAAAGATACAATTATAATATCGGCAATGGGAAGAAAAGATACTGCTGCAGAAGCTGCACAGAAAGCAGCTATAATTTTATTGGCAATTGATCGTCGATATTGGCTAATATAATCAAGATTTTTATCAATAATTTGTGCATTGAGCGGTGATACAGCATTAATACTCAATCGAAGTTGATTGATGCCATAATTTTTCGTAACTGATACAGGAATACATTTAGTAGTTGGAATAACCAAATATTTATTTACTAATTGTAAAGTCTTTCTAGTATATTTTTCGACTTTTTTTACATCAGCATCCGAGTTAGGTAATTCATTGTTGAAATATTCATCGAATTTGTTGAGTACACATATAACGGGTATCTCAGTATTGTAACATTCTTTTTTCATCCAATTTAGAACGTTATTGACGTTATCCATAGTGTTCTTCAGAGATTTTGTATTTATCAATTCTTCTCTTGTGATAACTACAATGACAACATCAGGAAACGAAACTGTTTGCATTTGTTCTTTGAGTCTTTCTACCAAAGAAGAGTCATCTGTTTGTGAACCAAATCCTATTATGTCAACGAAAGTAGCGTTTACTTCTGCTACTGGTAAAATTTGAAAATTTTCTCCATCAGCCATTTGATCATTACTAACTTTGCATACTTCTTTTTCACAAATGCTATTAATTAAACTTGATTTATTTGCATCAGTACTACCAAGACAATAACAAATATGTATTCTGTTTGGATTCAATATTTCTTGTAGACAATCGAGAGTAGTAAATAATTCATTAAACAACTTATTCGACATCAAATGAGTCAATTTGACTTCCTTTTTCATATTATTAATGACATTTTGAATATTTCTTACTAATATTTCTAACTCTTTAGTTTTGACATTGTTATTTGAATTATTTGGTAGGCACTTAATATAGTTGAAATTTGTTGTAGATTCTGCAATCTCCGATGATGTATTGCTCATTGTTGGTCGATTGATGTTTTTCAAATCAGTATTAGTTTCTAAAATAAAACAGTCAAAAGGATTTTTAAAAAAAAGGTGTGAAGTGTGGGTGTTTGACGGAAGAAGAATCTTATCGACACTCTATATCCTACACCCACACCCTCAAGAGAGAGAAGATTATATGTCACTACTTATATTTTAACGTTTATTGAAGAATACTTAATCGAATGAGTATAGGTTAGCATTAATAAAATCATTCGTTGTATTTGTTGACAGGAAATAATAATTCCCATTTGATTTTGTGAAGTTGTTCGTATGATTCATTTGAGAATGATAAATCAAATTGCATCATAGGAATTTATCTACTGACTCATAGAAATAATAGATTTCACCTTTTTCTTCCTATTGATGAATAACAAAGAAAAAACCTTCATGTATATGTCACAGGAAAAATAAAACTTGGACAGAGTTCGGTCTAATTAGATGCAACAGAACTCAACTTTCACTATCAATATAAAAAAAAGTCATTATTTATTTAAATAAACCTCAAATAAAACAACAAAATATTCATTTTCACTTAGTTAATCGTATAATAAGTACATCAGTGACGTCTATTTTGATATCAGAGATGACTCTTAAAAAACAATATTATGCGCAAACAAGTGAACATCTTGAATCTTTAAATATTAAATCGCGAGAAAAAATGGTTATCATACAGACTATGAAGAATATTAAAGTTCTTCGTTTCCTTTCCAATAAGTGTTCAGATGAATTCAATTCGCGGTTTACATTGTAGTGTCTAGCATCTTTTGTAACACAGAATATTGGCTTGAACTTTTTATCATGTGATGTTAAAACTCATGAACCATGGTAGGTGTTGGTCTTCTTTCGATATATCCGCACCCTCGTTTACGATTCTTGTAGACAGAGTACGTATACGATCTCCATTTTGCTTCGTATTTTTCTATATATGGTTGTTTACAGGCATATACAAAATTCATATTCGTCGACCTACGTAATCAAGTTTTAGGTGTGAGACAAATTTTCTCCAAATTCGAAGAAAACTACAGTTAAATTATTCCAAATGCAGAGAAAATTACAGAAAAAACTCTCCAAAGCAGGACGAGTACCCCCTCTCAAGCTTTCTGGTCGCGGGATCCCTGCCGACACTCACATCCTAGTCTGATTTATGATTTCACTCAAACAGTAACCAACTTCGTCCTCACTCAAACATGCATATCTATAAAATCATGTTATTGCTATTTGTCAGTATGTGAAAAACAGGAGCAAACGAGCACTTCTGAGTGCTTTTAATATTAATAAAGTAAAACATCTTTGCTGGTGAATGATAATACCTTTCATACTTTTCACAGTACTTAATAGCAATTTGAGTAAATTTTCCAGACTTTCAAAATAACCCCCCCCCCCCCCCAATAGAAGCCCAGTGGGCTTCTAATTTGTTTGGAAAATTATAAGTTCGGACATGGACTTTTATTGCGATCAAATTTTTTCATATGGCAGCTAAAATTCAATTGACTTACAGGTACAAAAGATCTTAAAAATTTACAAATCGAAATTATCAAGTTGTCAGACAACCTTTAGAGTACCTGTCATAACTTCTTAGAATTCAAGACTAGTTGCTAGTTCTTTCTCTGTTGTATATTATCAAATCGACAAAGTAGTACACTATGTACATGATGTTTTACATCTATATACTTATCTATCTTTAGAATTTCGTGGATCTTGCTATGAATACGAAAAATTACCTTTAATATTAAATATTGATTTGGAACATTTCGAGTTTTGAAGGAATTCAAAAGAAACTTCTGTTAGACATACATCGGTATAGTTCTACTAGAACATGTTATCACGATAGCTTATACTCAGTTCAAATATGAAGCAAAATATATTTTAATTGTCGCCGCAGAAATATAAAATAAACCTGTGACTATACAATGCAGGACTTCTACTTCTTGAAAGATAGATAATTCAAATCTAAGAAGTGTTATAATAATTGATATTGTAGCATTTCATACTGGCATGTGCTTTTAAATCTAATCAGTTATCGCGTAATTCGTATTGGTCATAGGTTGGCCTCCTTAGAAGTATCATCCTTCAATCAGATAGGTGCGCATATTGCTACTAAGTCAATAAAAAAAAAACCTTAAAGTTTCGTCTCAGAGTAATACCTAATCTTATAAGAGGAAGAAACCTAACAGAACGGTATTATTGCATGCGTAATTGTGAACAGTATAAATTTTGTAGAAATAAAAAACACCAAAAGTAAGAACTATCGAAAGAAAATATATCAAAAGTGTTATTAGTGCAGCTTCAGCACACTTGCCCATTAACATTGCCTGAATAGTTTGCAGAAGGATCAATGTCCTGGATTTGCATATGATTAGTGTTTGCTAAAGGTGCATTAATAATTATTTCAATATTTTTTCTTTCGACATTTTTTATTTCCACCAAATTTATGTATGTCATAATTTCTATTCAATAGTTCTTAGACAACTATATTTTATTAATACATATTGGTAAAAAGCTTTTAATGCTCGAAACACATTCATTCGTCTGCTGATGAAAATATGCGACGTAAAGCAGATTAGCCATATAAACTCAGCTACAAGAAAGTAGTAAGAAGCAATGGGCTAATCTAACCAATTTTTTAAATTGTCTATTGTGTGCTCATTTTGGATGGGATGAGCTTCTAATATGTCCGAAAAGTTATAAACTTGAGACTGGGCTTCTTTTCTATGGAGAGGTTTAGTTCATGGTGTTCCCTCGTCAGGTTTTAGTCAAAAAATGAATTTCACAATTTTCTGGATATACACTTTTTTCTGAGTAAAATGTGTCAACAGCAAGTTTAAGTCCTTTTATCAAAATCATTCCGTTGTTTCAAAAACTGTCAATTCTTATTCTCTTCTGTTTGTCTAATTTTTAAAATGTTTTAGTCGAAGTTTATTTCATCTCCTAAAAAACACACAATCAAAACTGTTATTTGAGATAAATCTTTCAACTTATTAAATAGAAATTTTAGGTTTTTCTGTAAAATCTGAAGGAAAGAATTCGAGAACTGCAGATTAGCAATCATATGGCGGGTGCATTACTATTGCATATCCATCTTTGGAAAAACTTACAGATGTAAACGATTATAACATCATATTTTCTCTTGATGATTAATAAAAATCTGAGCAAAACTATGAAAAATGGTGGTTTGTTGAAACCTCTTCCTTTAACCGACAATAAATGACCTAATATATTGTTGACTCTGGTTTAGTGGATAATATGATAGAGCTAGTAATTTACTACATATAAGTATATCATTTAGCTTACATAAATTAATTGTTATGCAGCTGATGTTCAGAATATATATATATATTTATAAATATATGAATCAAATATAAATCTTTGATAATAACAAATAACAAGAATAACGATGTTAAATTGAATTAAGCTTTTTAACAAGTGAAGAACAATATATACGTATATAAGAAAATCACTCATGTGAGTCGGTTATCCGACAAATGACGTAATAGAATAAAACTAAAACAACAGAACATAAATATACATTAAGTAGTTTAGCGTAAGTTAGCATCATCCACTGATGCTAACACATATCGGTCAATTTTTTCGGGTTTTTATCGGTTTGAAACTTCTGGACGAATTATAAGTCAGATGTAATCAGTCCTGCCGAATTCAACATATTTTTCATAGTTGTCCACCAATCAGCAAGTAAGCTATGTGTAATGATAAAAATGATGTCCCATCAATGAATCACTTCCATAAGAATTGAAAAGAGGAAGAGGCATGCAATATATATAAAGGTGAAAAGAGAGAACGAATGACTTAGAGAAGAAGAAGAAGAATATTGACACTTTTACAAAGAATAACCTTATATGATAGACTCTGATCGTGATTGCAGTATCGATGAAAACGGAACCGACGCCAGCAGTTGTGACGACAATAGTCACCATCCCTGTTATCAGTCAAAATACTGTGCAACGATTCACAGCCATCGCTATTCGTCGCCTTGTTTGGAAGCTCGATCGAAGACTCATACCTTTTCTTGTTCTCCTCGAGATGAGTTCATACATCAATCGATATAGTATCGGTATGTCTCTTTGAGTTGAATCATTCATTCGTTGATGCTACTTTCGTAGGTCATGCCAAATTGATGAACATTAAAAACGAACTACCTATGTCATCATCTGCTATGAATTGGGCCACTGCCCTATTTTTTCTTTCCTATGTGAGAAAATGATGTAACTAGACTTCGAAGTATTCTAATATATTTTTTTTTCAGTCGATCTTTGAAATTCCAAGCACTCTACTTCTGCGCTTTTTGGGTCCGACTCGTTATCTATCGTTGAGTCTGATTTTATGGGGTGGCCTCACTATTGGTATGGCTTTTGCGAAAAATTCTCAACAACTGCTAATTGTTCGCTTTCTTCTCGTAAGTTAATTCAAACTTGACTGATAACAGAACATATCGAAATTGTCATTGAAGGGCATGGTTCAATCTGGCTTTTTTACTGGTACTGTCATTTATTTCTCTTTGTGGTATTGCAAAAAAGAACAGACTATGAGATTTGCTATTTTGTTTGGAGCAGTCTTTGCTGCTGGTGTTTTAGATGGAATTCTAGTATGTACTTATGGATCTCATACAAAAAAATACCTCATTTTGAATTGATTGAATCAATGATTATCATTAATCTAGGTATATGGTATCAGTCATATGAAAGATATTGGCGGTCTGAAGAATTGGCGATGGTTGTTTTTACTTGAAGGCTTGCCAATCATTCCACTCGGTGTTATGACCTATCTTTTTCTTGGCAGTATACCCGATACTGTTCAATGTAAGAGTTAAAAGATGAGCAGAAAATATTCTAAATTGTTTTGAAAATTGAGGGCTGGATAATTGTGAAAAACAGTTATTAACGAATCTTCTTCTAGAAGATGCGGGTTTAGCCAATAGTGAGCCTACATCAAGTACTCGACTTTCGTGGCGGCAAGTGCGCTATGCTTTTATTGATTGGCGAATATATTTGTATGTCATGATTTGTGTCGGCGATTTGGCCATTCACAAATGTCTGACAACATATCTTCCAGAACTTGTCAAATCTATGAGTAACTCCAAAGAAGTACATTTAATGACAATACCACTTTATTTTATCGCATGCATATGCTGCTTGCTAGCGGGCTATTCATCATCACGTCGAAAAGAACACAGTTTTCACCTTGCATTTTGTCTATCAATCGCTCTGCTCGGATTCATCTTAATGACTACTTTGTATGATCAAGGCAACGTGGCATTATATGTCAGTACTTGTATTGCTTGTTGTGGTACATTCTCTGCATTTCCTCTACTACTCTCTTGGTTAACAAACAATGTAGGTGGTCATACAAAGAGAGCAATGGCTGTCGGTTTCTTTGTAGGTATGGGTCAAATGGGCGGAGCTATAGCGCCTCTGGTAAGACCATTGCTTCTGAAAACCTGCAGAATAACGCATAAAGCCAAATTTTAACATGTCAATCAAACTTTCATTTGATTTTGAAACAATATTAATGACAATGTTTTTTGTTCCCAGGTGTATCCTGATGATGATAAGCTAGTACATCGACGCGGACATTTTATATGTGGTGGAATCATAGTCATCAGCTTGATTATTACTTTTATTTTGCGCATCTGTTTACAGCTAGAAAATGATCGAAGAATTTATTTATCACCGGACAAGTATGAACAAGAAGCAGCTATCATAGAACCCTGTGATTGGGTGAGTTCATATCTGATTTTCTTATTTTTGAATGTTGTTTTCTCATTGTCTTTAGCATCCAGACATACGCTATGTGTTGTAGCACGAAAGAGTTTCAAGACAACGTCTTATTTCAAATACTTTATTTATTTATTTATTTTTTATTATAGATACTTTGAAACGAAAATAAAAAACAATAATCTTTTAAAGATTGATCTTTTTAGTTAATTTTTTAGAGATGCCTATTACTAAAAAGAAGGAGCAATTTATTATTGCCTTTTATGAAATAAAGAGTCTTAACAAAAAAAAATTAATTTGTTCTCATTTGTATTTTTCTCTGCTAGATGGAAAATTACAATTATAAAAAAAACAAAATCTGAGATAATATTAGTAATGGTTAGTGTTTTTGTTTGTGTGAACATTACAACAATTTTATGATGAATAATGAACAAAAGCTTGATGTGTCAGGTAGAGGTGTGGATGTGGGGTGTGGGTATTGTTATATAATCGAATATCCACACCCACAGCCTACCAATTATACAATCTGGCAATGTATTGAATCGAAATGTAAGTGAGAAAGAGAAAGAACAATTTAACGGTTGATATCATGTGGCAATTGATTCTTCTAGACTACTAATATACAAGCATTTAGAATTTTCATTTCTTTATTCGCAAGATTGTCTTCGAGAAAGATTTCCTAACGCCAATAGAGAAAATGTTGCTGTTGTTTTCATAGTAATGCAAGAATAACCATGGACATTTGCCTCAAAGTGTTCAGAGTTTATTTACATACCAAAATAGCATTTTTTTCTTCTTATTAAAAGTTGTCAAAATGGTTTTAAAAATATCTTTTGACGTTTCTACTTGAGAAATCTTACTGAAAATCTTTTCCACGTAATTCACATGATTTTTGAAGTAAAGAAGTATTTTTCAACAGAAAACATATCAATAAGAAGGGTTTAGCTTCAGAATTTTAAGCATACACTGTAGGCATTATAAAATAAAACAAAGACGATGGTTATAGGCAGTAGTGGATTAACTTCAATGAAAACTATTGCCTCTAAATGAGTGATTGAAGCAGCAAAACAGATCCGAGTACAAAAAAATATTTATTGTATAATTATATTATTCATATGTTTATTTTTTCCATGTTAGGGACATCCAACAGCTTTGCTCAAAGAATGGAATGAACTGCACAGTGGTACAAATGCTCAAACACGTTAGATAATTAATGCATTTGATGAATTTTTATTAAATATAAATTATCCACATTCAATCCATTGCCGAGTAAAAAATTTTCGCAAATTCAATGATTGGAAGGCTAGTGAATTACGTTTATTTTTACTTTACTTGGCATTACCAGTTTTATTATATTTTTCTTCTTATTTTTCTCCATTACTAGTCTATCATTTTTCGTTGTATGCTATTTATCTTTGTACATTATGCAAATTCGATGAACGCAACATGTTTATGATGTACGTCCATTTGTAGAAACTCATCTTCAAAGATTTTCTGAATTTTATAAATCGAAAGAACTTTCATCGACACATTGCAGTGTACATCTTTGGCAACAGGTTATTCGCCACGGCTCATTAAGTTCAACTAGGTACGATTAACTTATTTACTATTTTTAATCAAAAAATTGTGCTAGTTCGATTGAGTTGAAGACAAGCGTTAAGTCATTCCTTAAAGGAATGATTGATTTTCACTTTTAGTTTAGTCTTGCTGTTAGAAATCTGAAGCAAGAAATATCAAAATCTTTAGAGAATAGTTAGTTAAGATCGAGCGTTTTATGATAATTCAAAAATTTTCTTCATATATTCGAAGGAAAAGCGTTGTCTTGAAAGATTTTTCATATGTAGTATCTCTTGTGTCTAAGGCTCATCGGCAGATGAATGACATTTATTTAATCAAAGTCATAAGTTTGAAAATACATATTTGCCATAATTCTTTTTGCAGCATGTACAGTACTGAATCGTGGGATTCATTCGATGTCAATTGAAAATCAATTAAACACTGATGATCATGGACAATTTCTAGATGGTTATATTGATGAACGCCTTATTAATAAATATTAAAAAAAAACTTCGATGAATCTTTTTCGTTTATGTTCTCTTGTTCACCAGATGAGTCAGTTATTTTTCATTCTCGGTATGAAATCAGACTCATTGTATATCATTCACTCTCTTACTCTTTTCGGAAACAGTCATATAGTTTCAATGTTGGTTTGATAATTGTTCTTGCCAACAACAAAAGTGTTATAGGAAAATATTGTTTTTATTTTCATATCGAAGCAACCTATACATGTTCCTGTCATCTTACCTATGCTCTTCATCTTACAATTTTTCATCGACTATTCAGGTAGATAATCCTTTATCTATGTAGTCTAAACGTGTCGATAGCTTTTATTCACTTGTTAAAAAAGTTGAAAATTTTTTAAGTTTTCCTTGTACAAATCTTCGTACGAAGTTTTTTTTTGTTCCTTTTGTTGACGATCGTTTTATTGTTTGTACGCTTATTGACAACGAACTTGAACATGACTGAAATGAATCGAAATATCTTCACTTGTTTCATTACTTTTTTCTTCTAGATAATAATTTAGGCATTTCAGTTCATCATCATCATCATTAGTTATTTTGTTAAAAAGTAAGTTTTTAATTCTTTCTAGTTTTCTTATGATTGATCCCTTTTAGTAAAATGTCAATACCAACTTACAGAAGCAGTACTTCTCCAAGTATTACTACAGCATCACCTTTTTCACAACAGTCAAAATCATCACAATATCAACATTCATCTCAACATCAACATTCATCTCAACATCAACATTCATCTCAACATCAATATTCATTTCAACAACAGCATTCGTCACAAAACCAGCATGCATCTCAACATCGAAATGTATATTTACATTCATCAACAAGTAAAACAGGCAATTACTATGGACCTATTTGTTCTTCTCCATCAATCAGTAAGTACATTTTGTGTTGCGATAGAATTTTAAGAAATCCTAGATTGTTATAAAGCTATACTATTAAAGAATTTGCATGTGTATTTCCTTTACATTATGTTCTTTTTAAAATTTATAGATCAACAACGTATGATTACTTCTCATAATCAAAACCGATCATCACCATATACTATTCATTCACCACGTACTATTCGTTGTCAAAGTAATGCATATTATATTTTATTGTTACAATGAAATTTTGTTTAGATATGTTGCAATTAATGTAGCATCGGCTGATGTTGATACACAATCGCATGTTATTGAAAATGAGAATATTGAACCTGATCAATTTATTATGATCCATAAAAGTGCACTGGATAGTCTTGTTGAAAAATAGACGACGTTAGAAAATAGCATGAAAACTTTAGAGGGTGGGTGTTAGACATGTACCAAACCCAAACCGTTTGAACTCGAAAATATTGGGCTCGACTCGAAGCCCAGACTCGAGCTCGAACTCGAAAATAGATACTCGAACTCGATCGAGCTCAAAACCTAAAAGCTCGAACTCGATCGAGCTCAAACTCTAAAAGCTCGAACTCGATCGAGCTCAAACTCTAA